TCGTCCAAAACGTGGGCTCTGTTTGTCACTGCTCCAACTGATACGAGGCCCAGTGTATCCTTACATGCTTGACCATAATTACTTAGAAATTTGTAATTAATATCCAGTCATCAAAGATTAACCTGGTCTTTGATCGCCGACTTATTCATCAGAGTAATAGCCATGGCCGTTCCTCTGCTCAGATTCTGTCTGTTTAAACTCTTTGACTAAAAACTCAAAGAGTTTTCGAACATTTTGTTCTAAAATCTGTGATTTCTTGCATGCAAACAGCCAAAGGGCACAGTTTGATGGTGTGTCTGGCTGGTATGTGGGTGAAGACAGCACCCTGCTGTCAGGGCGATCCTCACAGGGACTGTAGGACCCCCAGTAACACCATCGTGATGGTGTTGGAGGAGCCCAGCCCGCTCCACATGTCACTTGTGGGTTGTGTGACAGACACTAATGCCATCTAGCGACCAGAAAAGAGCTGATGTGGATATTTTATAAAAAGCCACTAGAAATGTTATGTCTCCAAGTGGGGCAGACCTTGGGGCTGGGAAGGAGGGAGATGGTGCTGGGAAAAGAAATCCTTGTTCTCCCGACCTTTCTCTTCCCTCATTTCACATCCCACAAAGCACTTCTGCAGGTAACCAGGGACTGGAATCTCCCACGTGAGGCTTTATAGATCCTCAGGGGACCAAGTGCTTCCTAAGCAGCTCTGTTGATGAAGGAGCACAAATTCCCTGACTTACTGCTGGATTGTGGAGCACAAACTCAATGCCTGGGGACAAGGTGACTGCAGGAAGGGAGATGGTTTGCTCCACTACTGGTGTGGACATTGCGGGCAGAGACCCTGGGGACTGATGTAGCTGGTAGCTTGGGCTGTGACATGAACTGCAGCTCTGAGCTGAGCTGAGAGAGGGCAAGGAATCACAGCTTCTGCCACTGTCCTGACAGTGGTGACTTGTTACCACAGCTCGTATGACCTGACACTTTTTTCCTCCCACCACCTTTGTTTCTCCCTCTTGACTCTGCAGGTGATCGCCATGAAGGCATTAATGCACTGAGTCTCTGTGTGAGTGGATGTCTGGAGATGCTGTTGCTTTGTACCTAGTTATTAATCCAGCGAAGTCACAGTGCCACAAATCTGGAGGAATTAAGTTTGCATTTATAGTCTGTGTTTTATAAATGAAGGTGAAGTTATTTCTGACCATACCAACTCATTCTGCTTGGTTAAGCTGTCACCAGCAGCTGTGGTTTACCTTGCATAAGGCTGGTGGTCTCCTGGGAATGTTTTGCAGCTCTGATCATTTCTCCAACTCCTGAGAAATGCACGGAGAGAGAACTTGGGAATTAGAAACTTCTGGTTAAGGAACGTGAGGACTAGGATAGCTGGAATGAAGTGTATTATGAATGCACCGAAATGCCAGGCAGCACCCTCGGAGAGATTTGGAGAGAGATATGGGGTGTCCCTGCTGCCAAAGGAGAGCAAGCAAAGCACCTAGATGCCAAAAAGCTCCTTCCTGGGATGTTTCTGAAGTGCAGCAACACCAAGACTGGTGCTGACACAGGCCAGCACATCCCTGGCTGAGGGTCCTAAAGAGCCACCCTCCTCACTGGGCACACGGGTCCATCAGCAATGATGTGCTCCAGAGTGAAGGAGCAGGCGCTTGCTCTGCTCTGTGCTGCTCAGACTTGCCCCTGTTTCCTTTAGACAGCTATTTATTTACAAGGGTCTTTGAGGACTTCTTGTTATTTTCCTATCCCAAATGTGAAGGTAACAAGTATGTTCTAATTGTCTAATTTACAAATGTTTTGTGTTATCTTTGTTGCTTCTTTTTCTGGATTATCCTTGCGTCTCCTGCCTTTCTGCCCTGGATAATTGAGAGCTGGCAGTGTGCCTGTAGCCTTCCTGTTTCAGGGCCAAAATGGGAGTGAGAATAAATGCTTCTAAATATTGTGTTGAAGCAAATAAGTTATTTACTTATAATAGCTCTTTCAAAAAAAAAAATTTCATGCAGGTTTTGAAGGAGGAGTGAGCAGCTGCGAGAGGCTGGAAGAGCTGTATGCCTTGGGGAATATTTGCCCTGTGGGTATGATGGGGAAAAGGGCTTCTCAAGATTTGGAAGGATGCTCTTAATTCTGTAAAGGGACTTGATCCAATAGTCTGTGGCGACTCTGTATTTCATTAATTTTCTGCCTCTAAGTTCTGCAAATATCCCTGTCTGCCAGGACTTTAGGCTGGAGGTAGCAAAGGTAAAGACTTCCCTGTGGGGAGAAGGAAGGTCTACTTTGCCTTGTGCTTTTGAGTAAGACATCTTTTAGAGCAGCTCTCCGACCAAAACACAGAATGTGTCCTCAGCTTGATAGAAATCCTTCAGCGTTATCACAGCTCCATCTATTCTTTTTTTCTGAAGAGATATGGAAAAGCAAAAAGCATTTGGGGTGCTCTTTTGCCTGAAGCATTCGACACAGAATATCCCTATCTACTTGGCATCAGTAGGGTAGTAGCATCTTGCAGGAGGCAAGCAGAACAATTTGCAAGCCTAGTACTAATTTTCTTTTTTCTTTCTCCTTGTAGGGATCCTGTTTACGATGCTGGTATTTGGACCAGCCTGTGGATTTATCTTGGGCTCCTTCTGTACCAAAATCTATGTGGATGCTGTCTTCATTGACACAAGTAAGGAGAACTGGGTTTGGTTTCAAATCAAGTATGTTAATGTTGTATTGGCAGGACAAAAACATTGGTGCTCGCAAGCTGGAGACTGCTTCTCATTCTGTCTTGACCTCCTCTTGCATATATGGGTGTCACTTTTAGAGGGGTTTTAGGACTGGGACTCAAAATTTTTCAGCTCTGTCCCTGTAGATAGTTCATAGTGGCTAAAATTTGTTTCCTTCCATGGATTTTTCTACTACGAGATGAATTTCAGCCCAGCTTTTAAAGAACACCTTAAAATATCACCGTGGCAGGGCACACAGGCTAGCCATGGACATAGTCTTGCTGAGGAAGCTGTGTCCAGAGCATGGGATGAAAACTGGAGAGCTGCCATCCCTGGGACCTGGGAGGACAGTCCAGGCTCTTTGATGGGGGCACACCAGTAAGACTCATGCCCAACACCTTCTGCAAATTACCCTGTCTGGATGGTAGGTTCAGTCCCACAGCATTATCACTTTTTCCCAAAGCAGAACTAATTATTCCTCACGTTGACTCTGCGCTTACATTAAAGCAACTTGTTTGCAGGTTGTCTTTTTGTTCATTGAGAAAAAATCTGCAAATTCTTGCTTTGATTGCTGCCTGCGCTCTGTGCTCGTTGCCATTAGAGGGCAATGTGTAACAGGCTGTTCCTGCTGCTCCCCCAGCCCTTTGGCTATAGACTGCAAACCTGATGTTTCATTCTTTTCCCTCAGTTGTTCAGATGTTTTTTCTACACTTTTCAGCTCCGTCTGATCTTACAGGCTCTCATTCTGCTGCAGGGATGTTGTCCTCTTTGAAGGTTCATTCCAGTTCTATGATGTTGCAAATACATCTTCACAGGATGTGTTTGGATGGAGTTTTGCAGGACTCACAACAGAATTGTGCAAATCTGGAGAAGTGTTACTGCGCTTTCTTGGTCTTACCCACACATGGCAGCTGAAGAAATCTGAGTAATATTGAACGTGCAGGAAATAAGTATTTTTTTTTTTTTTTTATGGCTGAGACTTTTAGCTGTGGCTTGGTCAAACACCACATTCCCCTTTTCATTCCTTGGCTTTATCAAATATATGCCAAAGACTCCCTTGGTCCTCTACGCAGAGGAGCTTGCTTGAACCCTATTATGTATTTGAGCCTTAAATATAATTCACTCCAAAATATGAATGTGCAGAAGAAGATATTTTTTCTCCCAGTAGGTGAACTCCTCACCACAGGGTGCTGAAAGTTTGAAAATGAGTTCAAAACCAATTAGATGAGTTTATAGAAGGAAACATGAACAAGGCACCAGAGCTAGCTTAGAAAGCCCCTGAGCCACAAATCACAAGAATTAAAAGTAATCACGTCAGCAACATGGTGACTTTATTCTTGTGTACTTTCTGGGCATCTGCAGCTGGTTACCACCAGAGGGAAGATGCTAACCTAGCTAAAAAAGTTAATTTCATTGTGATCCGGCCTATCATGTCTTATATTAAAACATGATTCCGTATTTACATCTCAGAAAGCCCTAGACAAATACAGAGCCATGGAGGAGAATGGTGGAACGTTACTGCTGAGAAGCCTGGGGAGGCTGTGGCTCAGCAGCTTATAGGGATGGTATAGTGCTGTTCAGCTGGCTTTGGCCATGGTCCATCGCTGTCATGCAAAGGCTGGGGCACATGCAACCTCCATCTATTTTTTTATGGGAAGGAGTTTCCACATTGCAGGTGGCTCTGCCTTGCAGCTCGGGCCAGCACGAGGTTCATCCTCTGAGCTCCAGAGGATGAACCCTGTCCTGCTTCCTGTTCCAGGCAGGAGGTGTGGGGTGCACTGCCCCCCATACAGGACCTGTTTGTTTTAGGAAAGGGGTATGAGGAAGACCTTGGTTAACATGGCTGTTCACGTGGCCTGAAAAAAAACCACACTTCAGGCAGGAGGAAATAACAGCAGAAGAATCTAATCCCTCCAAAGCACTATTTTTCAAACTTTATATATACTTGAGAGCTACGTGTTATTTTCCCTAAGGAGAAAAGAGTTTCCTTCCGTCTCCGCTTGAGAGACAACTTGATTGCCTCACTTGAGACAGATTTTTCAGAGTGGCTGTAACCAGACAGACATCATGAACAAAGGAGATTGTTATTCCAGCCACGTATTGCTGGGTCTCCCCCAGGAGTCAGCTCCAGCACTGGGCACCCTCCGCCAGCTCACCGAGCGGCTGGGGCAAGGAGAAAAGAGTTTCCTTCCGTCTCCGCTTGAGAGACAACTTGATTGCCTCACTTGAGACAGATTTTTCAGAGTGGCTGTAACCAGACAGACATCATGAACAAAGGAGATTGTTATTCCAGCCACGTATTGCTGGGTCTCCCCCAGGAGTCAGCTCCAGCACTGGGCACCCTCCGCCAGCTCACCGAGCGGCTGGGGCGGGGCGGCGCCAGCTCACCGAGCGGCTGTGGCAGCGAGGCTGCTGGCAGGGACACCGTTTCTTCTCTCCTGTTGCTTATTTTTGTTTCCCCCAAATTACTTCAGAGCCTTTTTTTTTCCTTATCTCCATGTGATGGCCTACAGGATGCTCTTGCCTTTTACTCTGCTTTTCTTCATTTTCTGATGATTTCTCTACCCTTCTGAGCCCATTTGATGCAGTGGGTGAGTTTCTTTTCCAATATTTAGGATTGTTTCACCCTCCACGCAGTCACAGGTGCCCATAAAGCCCAAATGTCCCTCTCCTTTGCTGCAAAGGGCTGTGAATTTAAAGCAGAGAGACAACTGATCTGGAAAAAAAGGGTAAGCTAGGATGGAGATGTAGCGTCCTTGTCTATGCTGCTGCTTCTCCAGGCAGGTCTTTGTGCCAGTTGGGTACGTCAGCAGTGTGTGCATATTTGACGTGCTCAGTCAGTGATGTCCAAAACCTCTGTGCCAATATAGGAGACACCAACTGGTACATGGCAGCTTCCTAGAGCTGATAGAACCAAAGACGCTGGAGAGAAGCTCTGATTTCAGAGTGTTGCAGAAGCTGGATGTGCCATCTAGGTAGACAGGTGATGGGTTGCTTGTCCTAAGCACCTCTTGTAGTTGGAGGTTATGTGTTGGTGGCTCACATGGTATGGATGTAGGATGGACTGTGGGTCCCCACCTTGTGTCTGGGAGCACCTCACCAACCAACAGAACACCCAACAACCATTTTCCAACCTACGGGATCATTAATGTTGTTGTCCTTCAGTTCCTACAGCCAAGCCACTGATGCATACATGTGTCCTTGCAGGTAAGCTGGACATCACCCCAGATGACCCTCGGTGGATCGGTGCATGGTGGGGAGGCTTCCTGCTGTGTGGTGCCTTACTCTTCTTCTCGTCCCTGCCGATGTTCGGGTTCCCACAGTCCTTGCCCCCGCGGCCGGAGCACGCTGGGGAGAGCGAGCAGGCCATGCTTCCCGAGAGGGACTATGAGAGACCCAAGCCAAGCAACGGGGTCCTGCGGCACGCGCTGGATGGGGAGACCAGCACGAGCTGCTTCCAGCAGCTACGAGGTGAGACATTGGCTCTTGTCACGTTTTCTGTGAGAGTCAGCAACAGGTGATTGGATTTATAAACGGTCTCTGATTTGGGCTATCTACCTCTACTCACAAAAAAATCCCCCAGAAAACTCAGTATCCTGAAATTTCAGTCCCTAGCTTCTGACTATCTCTGGCATTGTCCTCATTTTAAAGAGAGACTTTGTTCCACTTGAAAGGTTTGGGTATTTTTTAAACTACAAAGCTTCAGAAAAGCACGATATTCCTGTAGAGTTGGTTTTAAAAAAAAAAAATGAAGAGGAACACAGTTGCCAAAGCAATTTGTGAACTTCTCTCCAGTCTACTGTCCTGCTGCCCTCAGCCTCCCAAAACAGAGAGCGAGCCAGCAAGGGCAGTTAAAAGAAATTCGGAGCTCCTGGCATCTGAGCTGCAGCTCAGTGCAGTCCCAGATACAAAGCAGTGATGCTGGGAACCACTGCTCTTAAACTGGGATGGGGAAGAGTTAGATACCAGACCAGAATAGGAGCAAAGTGGTGCAGAGCAGAATGTGGCTTAGTAAATTAGAGTAGAAAACCCCCACATCATGTTCTGCAGTGATGGAAATGGAGCTGGCTCTAATTAAAGTCAGCTAAGGATCTAGGATTTTGTGGAAGAGTGTTGACAGATATCCTTTCTGTGGGCTGCACTGGAAAATCCTTCATGTGAGAGACTGGTTTTGTAGCAGTGGTGGTTGCTTCCCCCCTCTCTGTCGCTGTGGCAGAACAGGTTTCATTACTGCCTATTGCATTATGATAAATGAGGACAAAACCACTTACTCCTTGTGCAGTCACCTTAATTGGGAATTGAATGAGTTGCGGGTGGGAAGGAAAAAAGAGCCTTTGGGGGGAAAAAAGTGTTTTCTTAAATATAAAAATGCCTTGAATAGTTGATCTGGTTGTTCATTAAGAGAAGGTCAAAGATGTGAAATTTTAACTTGATGAGAAAATTCAAAAGAAAGGTAAAGAGATAAATTGTTTGAAAATCTGTCACTAGAATTAATTTCTTCATCCTCTTGTCCTTGTCAGCAGGATTTTCTCAGGTTTGAGGAATTGTCTTTTCCCATGGTATGTCAATCTGGATAATTCTGTAGTTTTGTCGTGGACTCATCATTGTCTGCTTCTGGCCACTGAGTTTTTGGAATGGGCACTGGAAAATTTTTGCAGGGTTTTAGATAGAGAAATGAAAGAGTACGTCATGTCCCTGCTGCACGGAGGGGCAGCAGCTCTGCCTGAGGATGGTGCTGAGCAAGCTTGAGTTTCTTGCTCACTGGGAGGGCGTGGTGGGTCTTACTAGAGCATCTATTGCTCATTGAAGTAGAGAAATTAAACTGCCACATTCATAAGCTTCAAAGAATTGATTACAGCAGGAGGCACCACAGTCTTCCACGTTAGTCTTCTCATTGCAGGTAACCCCATTTCAAATCAGTCGGTATTCCAGAAATCTCTTTGTAGACGGACTTTGAAATACAATTTACATCACATCAAATAAGACAGGGAATGACCTTTTTAGTTATGCCTTTGAGGCTGTCACAGACAACACGGTGTTGGTAACTGACATCTCCTTTCAAGTCCCCTGCCACTATTGTCACAGTCGGAACGTGGTCAAGAGTCGTGTTTGCTAAAGTGCCTGCCTGGAGGAGATGTTCAGACAGGGATGGCAAACACGCCTCGCTCCTTCGTGGTGAGCAGTGTTTAAGGTGAGGGGTTGAATCCTGATGTGTATATACGTTATTTTCAGCGAGCAACTGAAAAATATATATGGATTCCTATGAGGCAGGACCTTGTATCCTTCATCTATTTGTTGGTTGTATCAAGTTTCCCTTGGGGAAGGTTAGACTGGTTAGCCTTTTTCCTAGGATCAAAAGGATGAGATAATTATATATACATAGGTTAAAAGTATGTATGTGCATGCATAGCCACGTATTCTGAAGCTGAGCGGCAGAGGATGTGACTGTACGTGGGTGGAAGTGCTCACTAGGGCTTGTGTAGCCATAACTCTTGACTCCTTTTTAGCAAGTGTTGTCTCTGCAGCTCGGTCCTGTGGAGGTGTTTGCTGGGCGTACGTCCATGTCTGCATGGAGGTGCAGGATCATCCATCTCTTGGCCACAGTATGAGGAGGAAGAGTTGTTTCTCTGGACTGACTGTGCAAACACATTGTATCAATGGTGCATCCTCGGAGCCTGAGCTGAGTCTCCTTTTTGGTTGCTGAAGGGATTTGATTATATTTTATTATATTTTATTTTATTTTATTCAAGCATTGTGTAGACTGCTGCAAGTTGAGCGGACATGGCAGGAGAGCAAGCGGGGTGGTGTCGGTTGGAGACATGCTCCCAGCTGGGTCACGGCTGTCAGCTGGTGACGTGGCACGGCTGGCATGTGGGAGGATACTCCAGATACTACAAGATTTGCTGAAAGACAGTGAGAGGCAGGGCCAAGGATGAGATTCCTTGGCTCTCTCTAGCTTTAGCACGCAGAAAAGCTAAGACTAATATAAAAGCAGCCTGCTCAAAGTGTCGGAAAGTCTTTTACATCTCTATCGAAGTCTAAACAGGAGGGAGGGCACAGCTTTTGGGAAGCCACAGCATCTCTTCCTATGGGGTATTTTCATGCCAGGAAAAGAAGCATCCTTAAGAGGAGCTTTGAACTTGAAACGAAAACCATGCCTTTGAACGGCGCGAGGTGAAGAAGCAAAGGCAGCAGAGGCGGCGGAAACGCGACAGCTCTGCACGGTGGCCCTGGCTCAGGGACAGTCCTGGGAGGTGCTGACCACTGCTAAAGAGGCATCCGAATGCTGCACAGCTTTACCTGATTGGTATTTGAGTTAAGCAACACAAATCCATTTGGGAGCACAGGGAAGTGAAGGATTAATAGCAGGGAGAGGATGGATAAATGCTGCCGTTGCTCTTTGCTCTCGGCTGGCAGCCTGGCAGGGTTGTTCCAGTCCTGAGCTCTCTGTATGGTCTTTGAAAGCAGTTGAGGCATGTGCTGTGGCAGTCCTTGCTGTCCTGGGGTCAAGACTTTGTTTTCATACCTCTGCTCTGCCTTGGGGACCTCTCTGCTATTCAGGGCCGGAGATGATGCTCAGCTGTGTCAGGACACCTGTGCCCTCTGCTCGTGTCTATCCAGCATCTGCCCTCTCACTCGATGTTAACACGCTGCCTCTAACCCACCACCTGCTCCAGGACGTGCTTAGAAATATTCTATTAAAATGGTTTGGGTTTTTTTGTTGTTTTTTTTTCCTACAGAAATATCACTTCTACTGAATTGAGCGGTCAGTTGTGATGAAATTTAGTTTCAAAATGTTTCCCTGGCTTTATCTTTAACACCCCTGAAACATTCTGCTCTAAACGCATTTTGTTTTGCAATGATTCAAACCAGAAATTCATTACATCCTGCCTGCCTGTCTAGTGAGAGAGATTAAAAACCTAAAGGGATTGAAATTGATATGGAATCGTTCAGGTTTGGAGAGAGAAGCTCATTCACGAGGAATTACAAGAAAACTCACTGTAGAACTAAATGAATTTCAAAACTGCAAATTCCCTAGATTTGGAAACATTTTGGTTTCTCTCCAGCTTCATTTACAAGAGCATAGAAGAGCTGGGATGTACAGCTGACAGCTGTCTTGTCTTCTGTTCGGTTCCTTCCTGCTCTGTGTACCAATCTGCTGAATACCTAGAGAAGGAGCTGCTCTGAATCCTGTATTTCTCTCCTCAAAAGTGCTCTCTGGGAGCAGACCTGTAGCACTTGGGCCAGAAGCTCCCAACTCTGCAGGGTGGTTCGCAGGCCATGGAGAACTTGTAGTCCTCAGTGGGAGTTCACTGGATTGAGCAGGATTCATGGCTAACACAAGTAGTTTTAAATTCATGACTCTAACGAGTAATAGTGACAACCTTGTGGAGAGGTCTCCATCTGTACCTTCATTCATGGCCATAATGGTGAGTCTTTGGCCCAGATCCAGATAGATACCAAGGCCTTTTTGGATTTGGGTCTTGGCTACCTACCAACATCTAAAAGGCTTGCTGAGAAATCCTCATCTTAGATAAGAGGATGACAGGTGATCATAAAAGGCCCCACATCAGGTCCTGTCAGTCTCCAAGTTTCTTTTGGCTTGGATTTCATGAGGGTTGGGGCTTTGTTGGCAGGTTCTTCTTGGCTGTTTCCAAGCCAGCATCCTTGTTATCAGAAGCTTTGACTAATTCAGAAAGGTCTACAGACTGCGCGCTTCGGTGCAGAAGCTGAGCAGCAGCTGAGGTCAGGCAGAGCTTGTCTGTCTCTGAAAAGATACTGTGCCTTGTTGTCACCTCCATGACATGAGTGAGGGAGGTTTATGTCCTCCTGTGAAGTCAAGCAAGGGCAATTGCTGGAGACAAGTTGATAGACTGGAAGGACCTGCTTTCCATCCATGAGAATGTTACTGTTGCTTCAAGCCCATGTTTGTCAAGAAGCTTCTTTGACTCAAGTGTCATCCTTTTTTTTCATAACCTTTGTGATACTAATTTTGCCGAGGCCTCATGACTTGAACATACTTAACGCATCTGAGATATCTTCAGTGCCTCTTGCCTTACTCCATCTCCTCTTTTATAAGAGCTGCCTCTTTCCAGGAGGTATTTTCTTCTTGCTGCCTGTGCTATTTTCTTCATCCCTTATTCTTCAAGCCAGGTGGAGATTTTGCCTTTTGTTTTCTATTCAGATCTGAGACTCGCTGCCTACGTTGCTGTTAGAAAGTGGTGTTTTGGCTCAATGCTGTCTTTCACCTTTCCCTCACCGCACTGGCCTAGGTGTACTGGGCTGGAAACCTCCCTCTAATTTATTACTTTGCTTTCTGTGTTCTTCATCTTTACTGCAAATTGAAAACATGTCTCTGTAGGGTGCTCCAACTGGAAAAAGGGGCCTTGGTGATTGTAATGTTCTAAACAATTCATTTCAAGCACCGACGTGATGATTATAGTTTGTCGTTTCTGGAGAGTAGTTAAACCTCGTGTAATGAGGTTGCCAATTATCCCCGATGCTCCCCGATGTTTAGTGACAAATCAAAGCTACTTGGTGTACATAAGTGTGTTCACTTGTCAAGCCCATGGCCTGTCACCTACAGCTGGCCCCACAGCAGGAGATACGAAGGGTGCTTGATGCCTTGGCACGGGTGTTGCTTGGGGTGTTAAAAGGTGGGAAGTTGAGGGATTAGTAGGGATGTTGGAGAGCTTTGGGACATCCTTCTAGGTCCCTTCCAGCCTATGGATAATCCTGTAACCAATGCTGCATGTGGATGGTCTGAAGAGTTGGGTTTTAAGTACTTCAGCAGTGAAAAGAGACTGAGGTTTCTTGTTCTTCTCTGTGTATCTCGCCAAGACAATGCAAATCACTTTTCTGCCATTGTTTCTGTAGCATATTGGGTGTGCTGGGATAAGGAAGGGTGTTAAATGAGCTAGTCCTGCTGAGCAGGGGAGGGCAAGTCTTTCTGTGCCATGTCTGATACAGCTTGTGGGTTCTCCAAGTAGATTTTTGAGACTCTCTCTTGAATCTAGAAGACCTGTCCCTTTTCCCATTTGGTGAATGGACTTGAACCTCAGATTTATAGCTCTGAAATGCTGCTACAAAGTGTTCAGCTAACCTTTGGGCCAACGATGTCCAGGGTAACATTTATCATGACTTTTGCTGGGATCAGCTCCAGTGAAGAAGTGCCATGCTTAGCTGTTGTGTTCCCCAGGGCTTTACTGTCCCCCATCAGACATTTTCCATTCTCCCTTAATACCCAGCACCATATGCCAGGCAGCTGAAAGCACGTCACTAGTCTGTTGAGAGATTTTTAAACTTCACTGCTGACTTTTAATCTTGTTCCCAGAGGTATTTCACCCCAAGAACTGAGACAGATAAGGCAGCAGCAGGTGTCACATGATTCATCCTAACGGGTGGCAGTAGCCAAGATGAAAGGATATTCATTACTATGGGGAACCTCCTGTCATTTCCCTTGGAAAATGAAAAGGAACGAGCTGGCCCTGGCTGAGGAGATGGTGGAGGCTGCCAGGCATTGCCTGCATTGCCTCTGCACTCTTTGCACCAGGTTTTGTGTTATACCTTCCAGCTGGTACAGAGCCCTGTTGCAGTAGATGGTGGTCAAACATGCAGTAGAGGACAAGATCTGTCCCAGAAAACTCACCCCTGGACACACTGAGAGGAGAAGCAATGATTAAGTGATAGGACTCGTAGCCCAATACTACCAGGCAAGGCAATCATGGGGACCTCCTCTCTTGTCTGAGATGCTGCAATAACTCTGCAATTTTTTTGCTGTCCATCCCCAAGTACGAAGGATGGATTTTGGCCTTGATAATGCATGATAGTTGGATACTAGTCTTGCCAACTTCAGAATAAATGTCCATGATCTTTAACTCCCTCCTGCAAAAGACAGGCTGTCATTGTTATCGTTTAGTGGAAAAAGTTAGAGGTAGACCTTTGTGTCTTTGCATTTGAATTGGCACAAAAGAGGAACCCATTAATCTCAAACAAACTGAACTCCAAAGGCACAACAGGCATTAATACCTTAAATGTGGCTTTTCAAGCTCAGCGTTGCCAAGTCCACCTTTGCATTTTCTCTCCGTTTCCTGGCAAGAAGGAGGAATTCTGTAGGTGGCCACCAAAGAACTGAAGGAGGCAGCAGGTGGCTTCTGAGATCTAGCCACATCTGAATCCCCCCACCCCCATTCCTCCCTCCCAGTATTTTTTTTTTCTCTCTCTCTCATTTTATTTTTTTTTACCCCTATTATACTAAAAAATTCTATGCCTCCTGCACCTTCATTATGTTCAGCAAATCCTCAGGAAGCAAGATTTTTATACAGCATGAAAAAACATTTATGATATAAAGAGACCAGAAACTGTGGAGTGGCCCCTTCCAAAAAGGTTAGATCAAACCTGATTATAACCCCTTTTTTCCCCCCCCGCAAAGAAAGAACCAAGGGGACCCAAGCAGAGTCTTGACAAAGAGCTGTGCTTTCACTTGCTGAGGCCAGTGCAATTAGATTTTGCACCAAAAAAAGCCCCAAGGGAAAACAGAAGCCAACACCAGAGAAATCTATCATCTGCCAGACCCTGGTACACCACGGGGGGATGTGGGGGATGGATTTTCGAAATGCAAATGGGGGTCCATTGAGGCTTCACTACACTTGAGCGAGGTAATTTTCAAACTTAATGATTTTCACGTTTAATTCGGGGAGAAATTAGTCATCAGGTATTGAGACAAAGCGAGGCTCTCTTCTGTACTGGGATGCTCTCCTCTTCAAGCTGTGTTATCTCGGCAATAATTAAAATGTTCGCTGAAGTAGAAAATGTGCTATCTGATTCATTAGCCAGATCTCCCTTTGTAAGGTAACTCGTGTTTGCTTATCCGAAATAGAGACGGGCTTGGAGCAGAGGACTCTGGACGTTAATGATTTGGGAGAGAGGAGCAAGGGACCATGAAACTAAAGCAGTTGTGTGCACCTCTGGCACAGCAAATAGCTCAGCGTGTCCTCTTCCACCCCTGCAGCCACCAAGGCTGGTAGGATCTGCATGGAAGGCGTTGCTTGGCTGGTGAAGCTCTGGTTTATGAGAACATCCAGGCTAACATGCCTGTCCCAGGTCCCTCATGCCCGTGGTGGCCATGGCTAGGCAGGAGAGTTTCAGCTTGCACCCTGATGTGCTGCAAGAAGGTGTCCCTCAGCAAGCGAGCTGGTGTTACGTGGGAATAAGAAAATTGAGCAAATCTAGATGGCAGGAGAAGGAAAGGCCAAGTGTGAGCTGGGTTAGCTTGTGTCTGAAAGCTTGCAAGAATTGGTGCAGTGCTGAGTACAGTGCTCATGACGCCCATCAGCTGGCTCAGCGTTGTTCACAGGGATCAGGTAGGGA